ATAGAAGATTACTTGCTGAAGAATTAGTAGATGCAACAGCTAAATTTATAGTCTTTACTGCTAAAGTCGCATTGGGCTATTGTATTATTAAAAAATTTATCAATTAGAAATTCAAACCCATCGTAACTTTATTAACATAATGGATAAAGAAGTTTTTAAAATTATTATGAAATTTCTAAGAGATAGTGATTTACAATGTGATTTGGAAGTATTTAATCATTTGCTTAAATCTGGATCTCGCAAAAAGAAAAACTTAATGAGCGTTTAGAGTTAAATTATAAAATTTCTGGTAAAAGAAAGGATAAAATGATACGAAACTTCTTAAAAGGATATTGCGAGGGGTTTTTTACTGATATAAATTACGAAAAAGAATTTACTGATAGAGTTTTAATGCGATTTGAGGATAACTTAAAATCGTATTATATATAAAACGTCGGTAGCTAGCCTAACTGGCTTTTCTTTTTTTGAAGTTATTAAAATAGACGCTCTAGTATTAACTCCCATAGTAGTGGTAATTTTGACCTAAAATCGCGTTTTTTAACCAAAAATCGGGTGGCTAGCCGTGTGGGCGGGCGCTAGAAAAGGATTATAAAAGTGAGCCAGAATCGGCCTATTACTACTACTGGAGCAGCTGCTGAATGTTGGCGTAAACAGTATAGTCATCGGTATGTAGTATGCTTCTTGGTCGTTGACACTTTTCAAGAATTGGGAATATGTTCTCAAGGTTTCTTTTTGCTCCGTGGTAATTACACCAATCACCCAAGAATTATTCCTTGATCTTCTTCCACAATTGTACTATATAAAGAAAAACAAATGTCAAGTGTAAATTATAATCAGGAAATGATTATTTGAACTGATTATTTTTCTTTAAATAGAGCGGTTGTGGTATGACGACTGACTGACCCGCCCGTATCGTAACCATATTTATCATATGACCCGTATTTCGGCCCTACACGCGCTCTTAAAAATCTTTTGGGAGATAGTCACGTGGTGGGGGCCGAACTCAGTCAATAAGTACTTAACTTTTCCCATAAAAAGCATGCCTTCATCACGCTGTAATACGAAATCGAATCTACATTTTGCTTACCTTTGACTTATGTGAAAATTTACTCTCATCACAATGCACAATGATGTTAGGACCACCAAAAGGATAAAAAGGGTAACTTGCAATATCTTCGGAACACACATCTTCGAGTTTCCGATACACTCTTGACACAAAGTTTGCCGGAATTGACAGCTTTCTCGCGGTTTTTCGCTGTTGATCGTCTTCACTCCAAAAGTATATTATCGCCAGTATTTCCCACATGGAAATTCGGCAAAGAAACTGTTGGTGCGTAAGTTTTTCTTTCTTCTGCAGCATACACATACATATATCCGTTAACTTTATTTGATTGTGAAGTTGAATGGTCAACCTGATAAAAACTCCAGCTAGCGCATCCACCACAAATGTTGCTTTTAGCCACGTAGACCCAACTGTAACTAGTACGGAATTGATTTGAGGTATTGGAGGCCGTTGAGGGTTAAAAATGGTTGTGTGCCACGTACTTTTGAACTGGCCCAATTAATCAAATTTTATGCTTTGCATATAGCTTAAAAATGATAATCGTAAGCATAATAAACGTAGCTCACCAGAGATATCCGTCGACATGACTTCTGTCTCTTCGCACAAGGTTCATATTACGATTGCAGTTACCGCAAAATAATGGGTTTGCAAGTAGATTGTGCCTTTGTAACCATTTGATAAGACTTGCTTTAGTCTTGTTCCTTAAACCGTTTAAATATAGGAGATTCATATTTATACAAAGACGATCAGTGGGACAATGACTTCATCTGCGTCTCTGGTGACTCTGGTTTATGCGATGCAAATGGCAGTTTTGACACCGGAAATCATATAAACGGCAAAAGAGATCGCGGAGTTGAAGGAAAAGATGTAGGGCTAGGCCACGTACACAGCCCGGCTGAAAAGCATTTTCGGGTGATGTAGGCCTCTACTTGCGATTACTTTTGTCATCTAAAAAAGAAAACTGTATTCTCAATACATAATATAATACCATAATTTAGTAAACAATATCTTAACAATAAATCGATCTACATAGCGATTGTTCTAAATCGTTCTTTAATATCACAAGTGCCGGAGTGAAAACGTAAAGTACTGATTGAAACCGACTTGTGACTTGCTGCTCATTTAAAAAACTCTCGCAAATTGCCGGAAATAGCGTTGAAGCGATTATGGACGATCAAACGAACAGTTATTTAAAACCGATAAAACATTCGAGCAACAGTACTTAAAACGTAGGGACGAGGGACGAGGGACGGAGGGACGCACTCCACTAGATCGGACAGTGGTAGTGTTGTCTTACCTCTAAAAAATGAAGATAGGGCTTCAGTTAAACTGAATTAGATTCCGGAAGCGCGGACACCTTATAAAATTTTACAAATGTAAGACTAACGTATATATATTCTCTGAGTGTTATATCATATCTCATTTTGCGTGAAACTCCAGAGACGTTTAACCGATCGACTTTACAACGCAAAAATGACTGGCGGCCGTTGTGTCACAAAGAAATTCGTGTTTTTGAAATCGCGAGTGAGTAGTGTTCCAAGAGATGCAAGTTAGAGCGGGCTAGAAAACGAGGGACGAGTGAGGAGAGTTACGATATTCCCATCGTACTCTTCTCAAGAAATGCAAAAACAACTGGCTGATAACATTCCTCTACTTAGGAATGTTGACTTTTCAAGGTAAGACTTTTGAATTCACCTAATAAATAGAAATAACTGTCTCTTAAGTGATGTAGTTAACAGTAGTTAAATAACTATCATTTCGCTTTTGGGCAATTTAACCGTGGATAGTAAGATATAAACTCTATCGGCAAACCGTCAATAATTTATTTGCAATTTGTCTTGCCTCATAGATTAAGGCTTTTTAGGTCGACAAGTAGAGGCAATGCAATGGAGGATGTGGGTATAGGGATCCCTGCCAGCAGCAAGGGATTGCTTAACAAGTTCAAGGGGACATCGTCCAAAAGAGTGTTCCTGTACCTAAGCCACCGGCCGAGGGATGATAGTAAGTATGCCCTTACTCTTATTTGATTCATTTTCTTTGTTTTGTTGGTGTTTTTGTAATTTGAAACAGTTTTTAAATTTCATGATACTTTTTTTCACTCTATTTGTTATAACAACTTTCGTTGCTAACGGTATGATGATCTCGTATGTGACAATGTGCTGAGATGTGCACCAAAACCCATAAGTAGCTTGAGCCGCGAAGTATTAGCTGTGTACATCCGTTTCTCACCCATCCAAAAAAATCGGGGAGAGAACGTCCTCTCCCCGATTTTTTTGGAGGGGTGAGAAACGGATGTACACAGGCTACGAAGCATGAATTTTAGCATTTACATGATCTATAAAATCTATCATCGATAAAAGTACGCTCCTCTCCCCAATCCCACTCCAAAAGGGCTGAACACACTGCGCGCACTAGGCACAGAAAAAAATACACAGATTTTTAGTTTCCACTTGAGTTTACAATTGCATGTTGGAATGAGATGGGCTTAATAAGTAACAGAGGTTACTCTGTTGTATTTTAATATGGATTCAAGATAACGAGATTGGAGATTTAAGAATCCATACAAAACAGAAACCTTGAGCTTAAGCTTAAGACTTAAGTTAAAAAGTTAAGCTTAGGTTATGGTTTAAAAAATATCTGATTAGTGATTTCTGTTCTTTACAGATAAGTCAGATAACACAAGACGATCACGATCACCACCAGCAGCTGCAAGCCCTGATTCCAGTGACGTTTCTTCAAATGGTGTGAAGATAGCTTATTAAGATTAACGTTAAGCTTAAATTTTTATGAAATAAGCTTACAAGCATTTGAAACTGGCGAGGGGGCAGCTATATATAAGGCCTAATTACATTGTAATGTTTCTTATTATTTCATCGATCTTGCTTTTTCAGAGGATACGAGTGATAGTGATTTACAACCGTTACAACGCCGTAAGCTTACAGGTAAACATTCTACAATAATTTTAAAAATTAAAAAATTGTTTGGGCCGGTTGTTTAAAGCTCGATTTAGTGCTGTAATTCCCATCGTAATTCCCGTGTAAATCCGTTTACTGCTAATCCTATATCTTATGGATCATTATAATAGGTGTCAATCAAGGTTCAAAGAGTGTTTCTTTTTCTAATCCCTATAATAGTGGTGAGTTGAAATTTTATTATAATACTGTGATTTTGATTATTTTGTATGTTATGGTAATTGATTGAATGTATTATCATTTTGTTTAATGTGGTAGAGGTGGTAGACAGAATAGCCTTTTAAGCTTATCATCTGATGGTAAGTGACAATAACCATAATAGCAATAATAACCATCAGTCAAATGATATTTAGTTAAATAAAAAAAATGAAGATGAAAGATGAAGATGAAGATGAAGATGAAGATGATGGAATGCAGCTGGGAATGGTAGCTAGTCGGGCAGCAGGTGAGTCACAAAAGCAGCTGCTTGAGAAATATCATAATACATTACTGTAATCAAAAAATTATAATAGTAGCAATTATGAATCGTCGTTATAAGTGCTTATAGCCAGGGTCCCTACATATTCTCTAAGATCCGGGGTGCGCAGTGTCTTAAAACCAGTTCGCACAAATCGATTTGCAAATTTCATAACTTATAAATATGGGGCACAATTGTAATCAGCTATGTCAATTCAGTCCTCGGACTGCAAAATTAGCTCCAATAAGCAAATCATAAACAAATCATTACGTACAGTATAATGCCAATATGGGGTGATGCCTCACATATCATGCATACCAATCAATCATAGAATGCCAGTGACAAAAGTTATTACTCTGATTCGCTGATTTGGAATATAGTATACAGTACACACTATATTTGCAGAAGTACATGTAATAATTTTTATTTAATAAAGCTGGTCATAATCGTGGTTTTGGTGCATCAGGCAGTGGACTGCGTCAAAGAACTACAATTTCAGGTATTTATTGTTTAAAATGATTGTACATTGTAATGTATTCTGTAATATTGAACTGTAGTATTGAACTCAGAGTTTTAATTGCAGTGAGTGATGATGATGAGCTCGATTCTACACCATTTTTCATGCCATTTGTACACAAAGTAATGTATTATACAAAATTGGCCCTAATTGCCATTGATATAAAGTCTGAGCTATAATCATCTGCAAATATAGTATGTGCATACTTTTTTGCGTACACGACAAAGCCAAGTCCCTAAGGTTCTGTTTCTGTGTTGGCAAACTGTTTTTTTTGTTTTTTTTTTTTGTTTAATGATATGGTGTTGTTTTTAAATGACCTTTTTAAGATGTTAAAACTTGCATAAAAATGTAGCTCACTTATAGTAGAACAAATATATTTAATTACATAGCCAGACGATCTTGAAAATGAAAGTAGTCACAGCAAAATAAGCATTTATGAAACCAACTATTGAATTCCCATGATGTTATTTTCATTACAAACTCAGTTTTTGTATGGTATATATTTTTTTTATTCTAGCTCACAACTGTCCTGCCACAATTGACCTAGAATCAACTGGGACCCCAAAAAAGGTTATTATTATATCAGAAGTTTCCTTTTAATTTTCAGATGGACAGCTTTTACACTATCCAGCTGCATGTAATTTTCATAATACAAATAAATGCACTTTTTAATTAACAGACCAAATGTCTATATATAATATCGTCAACAGTTCATAAAGATTGAAATGTATAATTAACGTAATACTCTTTGTGTTTTATACTTTTGCAAGTACCGAAATCAGTTTCAAAGACTGCAGAATCGGTAAGTATTCTTATATCATTTGTACACTTTAATTTAATTTTAACTTAAAATTGGTAATTAATTTTCTATTTCATAAATTGTAGTTGGTGAAGTTAGAAAGAACGATAAAGACACTCAAGGTATTTATTATATATGTCTATAGAATATAAAAGCTACTTTAAATCAATTGTTATTTAGGGGTAATTCTAGAGACAGAAGTGTTTGCTTGTGCAGTATTGACAACTATTTGTTCATTAGAGAGCCAACATGCGTGTGTATTTGTACTAAGCAAAACAAGTCTCTAAGCTTTTTGATATTCAATTTGAGTGCATTGAAGCTAGATATTTACCTGTTAATAATCTGAATTAATTGAAATACATGCAGAGCGACTTCTTAAATTATTCAGTAGTAAATTCAAGGAAAAAACTGCATGTGTGTGTAAATGTACAACAAAAAAATGTATTTAAGAAATGAATTGTTTTTGGACGATGTCTGAAAAGCCTATCATGTGTCACAAAAGGTTGATCATACAGATACCTGCTCATATTGTATCAATTACTTCAAACAGCGAGCTGA